CTGAAGAGCTTTTATATTTATTAGTACATACACAGAGTCGTATATACTTACTCCTAGTCTTTCCTGACAACTGACATGCAGAAGGGTTTGAGAGAAGACGATGTTGATCATCCTATATTATAACTCCTGCCAGATGTTTGCAATAGTTAATATGCTTATTCACAACTGTTTGAATAAGGTTTGATGTACACCATTAGTTCTGCTAACAAAATTCAAACATATAAACAGTATAAGATAGTTTCTTCGCAGCAACCCTTAATAGTGAACATTAGGCAGAAAATTCTTTTGTAGATCAATAAGATATGGAAGGACTATGAAAGGTTCGAAAAGAACACCGAAATAAATCACATTTGTAACGTTTATGTACATCTATCAAAAGAACGACAATCATAAGAACTGATTATTTCACAAAGGTCATGTTAACGTCTGAAATCGATGCTTGCAGTCTGAAATTGCGAAAGACTAAGCACAAGACCATTCACGGAGGACCATTTACCAACAGTAGATTGGAAATCATTTAGTGGAGGACAATTTGTTGTAAAAGAGAGATATGGAAACTCTCATATCTTCAGCGTATTTGATAAAACTGATATCGGCTGAAGGTGTTATGTCATGCAGAAAAAAAGAGGAAAGATTGGGGGAAAAGCTGTCTCCTTGAAAGACACTAGTCACAGTAAGCAGTGAGGTCGAGTACTCCCCTCTGTGAACGGTAAACTATTTCGTTTCAGAGAAATGTAGACACAGCCAGCTGATCATCCAAGACTCAACAAAAGTCTCATCTAGCTTGTGCAGCAGAGGAGGTATTGTTACTAAATCAAATGCTGAAGTAAAGTCTAAAAAGGCACACTTGACTTGGCATTTTTATCAAGATTACAAACAATATTGTGATAAAAGATAGTGGTGCTGTCCAAAGTCCTCATTTTACTTCTGCATGCAGATTAATATGAGGTCTACGAAAGCCTTCGTCGAGGGTTCGAGCACAAGTATTATTAACTTCTCTATTATTTTCAAGAACGGAGAACCAACTGCAATCGAACGGAATTTCGGACATTCACCTGGAGTACCTGACTGAAGTAGGGGGAATATCTTAATGTATTTCCAGGCGGCTGATATCGTGTTTTCTGAAAATGCTAGCTAGTGGATAGCATAAAATATCAGCACACTTCGTGAACATGCGGCTTTACACACCATCTAGACCGGAACTGGGTTCAGGGATTTGAGACATTTGAAAATATCTTTCTCTACTAATTTTGGACAACACTCTCTACTGAAAATATGTGGACAAAGTGGAATAGACGAGGTTGGTTGAAGTATAAACGATTTGTTCCAGGCACAGACATAAATATGGGCTTCTTTACTAAGGCGTTTACTACCAGAAGGGTCTATGGAAGTTTTCACATGCTGGAAGATCCTTTACATGAGAAACGTTTCCAATTATACAGTAGACTCAGACGTTTAATTTCTCACCTAATCAAAATTTTCAACCGTTGAGCTTCAGTATTATCGCTTGTTTTATATGGCCTTTATAACTTCTCAGTCTCTTAAGCTGCGGTGAAGACAAACGATCGAAGCATAGAAAAAGTTTTTCACTAGGGCAACAAACAACCAAACAAGACTTTAGATAGCATGTCACACCATCAATAGTGTAGTTCAAAATATCGCTGTCAAATATTTTTAGTCCGCACACTGTAGCAGGTATTTAAGATTGAGTGTATTACAATGTGAATAGTTTCTACATATATTTTTCTCGTGTCTGATGGCTACTTTGCAAAGTTTATCATATATTCTTTGTCAAAACACGATTAACACAATGATTTGAGCTGAATAGTGAGGCTCTCTTCCGAGTTATATATATATCATTGATGAATACTATGTCTAGTACTGCACGCTGACGTATTGATAACGAGATTTTGATGACCGAGAGTTTTGAAGAAGCTTTGGTCATAATTATTATCACAACAAATTATCAACAGGGAAACACATAGTACAGTGGCTGAGGATTCCGTGACTGTATCAGAGAAGCTGGATAATTTGAAGCTTTTACTTCCAACAAATTAGGATATAAAACTAAGATTCGCGTTTTCTTGCCAAAGCATTACAAATCCCCATTCAGGGAACAGTACTGAGAGAACAGTTTTGCGGTTTGTCTACAGTTTACTGATTTTAAGTTTTCATTCATCACAAAATAACATCACTTAGTGGACTGCTGGAGATCTGAGAGCACTAGACGGCTGTTTTGGACGTACGCGACGATGGCATTGAGTGAAAATTGTCCTACATCGTGAAGTGAAACAAGTTAGAAAATTTGGACCATTGGATTGTGATCCAGTGGCTCAGTGGTGACGTTATCGCCGAGTAACCTGAATGTCCGGGAATCGGTCATTGATAGGGAGAAGAAACTACATACTACGACTAAACAGCTGCATAATGCTCTCAGATTTACGATCATTCTTTAACTGATGTGAGCCTATGATGTATACTAACTTGAACTCCTGTGTATAATTTGATGTTGCCATAGCAAATTGTATGAGATAACTTTTAGTGAATTCCTAATCCCAGACAAGTATTCTGGCTCTTATAATTAAAAACAGAGTGATATTAGGCAGATGTTTATGCGTTCTATTGATAAGAAAATTACATACTGCAGTTAATGGAATTTTATTCAAATAATTGTTTCAGAGTATTCATTATCGTTGCCTGAGTTTTTATGCCAAGTAAAATCAATTCAGAATACTGTTGATACTTGATTCGCCAAGTGAAAGTTATTTGCTCAAATGACATATTCTGCGGACAGCTTAAAAATACACATACATACAAAACCTTTACAGAAGAAATCAACCTTAATCAACTTTTGGGCTTTGTTGAGAGGAAAATGATACTTGAAGCTGTGATAAAGTATTATCAGGATAATTTCACAAAAGCCTCTCAGTGTAGTAAATATGTGCTGCTTCTTTTTTTCAACAAACTAGTGTGAAATTCGATAACTGAAAGACTTCCACTAATTTCGACTTTTCTATGTACATTTATCAATTCAGCTTTTTTTGAGGAATGCATTATAGGATTCGCAAGACTATACTGTATTTCTTAGGATACATGACTATCTAACCAATGTCTAAAGTGGAACCACTATGCGACAGTTACTTATCGCACTGAATCTTGGCTATATTTCCCTTCGAAAATGGATTTCTTACACACAACCGAAGACATTTTTATTTGTTTGTTTTTTAAAATTTTCCTTCGGCTTGTTATTTCATTTTAGGTTATCCACACATTTAAGTTGTTGACTAAGTAGCAATTAGACAGGAAAGCAGAGGAATTAGACAATTTGAACACGACTGTTTCTCGCATTCACACTAGAACTGCCAATAACGTTCTTGTTTTCAAAGATGCGTCTTTATTCTCGCGACCAGTTATCAACTCTTCATAATATTTACAAAATAAATACCTCACACCACATAATATGTCATTAAAAAGCCCCTATATTAATGCTTAGAAATGTGAATTTGATGGAAAATGATACACACTTTGCTGAAAGTGTGCGATAGATGTTTAAGTAGAAAGTAACGGTCTTAATTTATATGACTGAAGACAAATAGTTGAAATTCTGAAACCGAGGCTTGGCCATGTTTTACCATCATCAGCAAGATTATCGGCAGCATAATCGACAGTGTCAGAAAAGATAGGATGTTATACTTAGATATTGAACCATAACATGGACGAGATATGCATTAATTCGTCTAAAATAAACCACTAATTTGATTAAGTTGATGTATCGCAGCAAAAATAAGGAAAACCAAACATGACAAAATGAACAAAGTATTGTGATTTATAGCAACGGTGGATAGCAGTTAGCAGTGTAATCCAGGAAGAGTATTTTGACCTACTTCAGACTCGTCAGCTGGATGTGCCTGTCTTCCAGTGAGTGATATTGTTCCCGCCGGGATTCGAACTCAGGGCCGGTTACTTCAAGCGCTAGAGAGTTATCAAATAGACCACCGAGAATTGATAGCTACTTTTTGTGCAATGGGTATAGTTTTACTATTATTGTTCTCATTGTACCACCGTTGATCGGACCGAAATGATCGGTTTCTATCGGCATATGGGCTCCTGTGAGGATGCCTGGGTATTACTTCATTTTCAGTTACAGTAATGATAGATATTGGCTAGCACTGGAACCCAGGATATGCATTTCGTCCGATTCGGGACTCGCCAATAGAGACTGTGTAATACAAGCAATAATACTAAACCTATACTCGTCGAACAATGCTCAGCGGTCCAGTGGATAACGCTCTGGCGTTTGAAGTGATCGGCTCCGTGTTCGAATCCCAGTGGGAACCAAATCACTCACTGGGAGGCATGTACATTAGCTGACAAGTCCCTAATAGGTCTAGATGCTCATCCTGGATTCCACTGCTAGCCACTGTCTATCACTGCTGTAACTAAAGACACAGGTAATATCGGGGCATCTTCATACGAGCTCGATGTCAATGGAGACCGATCAGTTTGTTCCAGTCGACGATGGTATAATACAAACAAAAATACTATGATGATTTGTGATTGTTGACGTATGAATCATGAACTGTTTATTACCTGTCAACTTTTGTATATTATATCCCACGTACGATGAAATAAATATCTTTTGCTATAATTATGTTTATTTCAACCTTATACCATCAAATATACATAAATGTCGTGCTATTATGATTTTTCAACAAGCATTCAGTATGTTGTTAACATAGTCACTGAAATAGTTTTGACTCCTGTATGGTCACATATTACACTTTCACCAATAAACGATGTTTATTCTAGGTTTTGATTCAAGCTGACTTTCTTTAAAGTTTAAGTAAATAAGATATTTTCTAAATCCATGTGTAGGTAAAATGAATTCTGTGGAACTGTCAAGCTGTTTCCAACCAATCAACCATCAGCCTAATTCTACCAATAGAATGGTAACATTTACTTTCGCATCCCATGAAATATATTATACTTAAGCAAAATAAGAGTTAAATGCAATTGAGTATAAGTTCTATCAGGCCTTCTTAACTGACATCTGAATAAAAGAAGCAAGGATAAATATCTTAGTGATGTGTGATACATCAGCAGGATGCTATTCCGGATTGTATAAATTTCTGAATTTTTCTACACAGCTTAACAGTTCAAAACGGGAGGAGTTATTACGCGTTTACTGGGAAGAGGTTGCTGAGTCAAAAAATCAGTCTGAAATTCCAACAGCCTTACTTATTGTAACAATCCTAGTATTTTTGGGAATGATATTATTTGGTACATTCGGCAGCAGTTTAGTCATTTATGTAATATTGAGAAAACGATCTATGCGTACACGTGGAAATTTATTTATACTGAATTTAGCAATTTCAGATTTAACTCTATGCCTAATAACTCAACCATTTAATCTGTTAAGATTGTTAACTGGAAATCGAAATTGGGTTCTTGGACAATTTATGTGTAAATTTTCTGCCATGTTTCAAGGAACTAATATATTTGTTTCAACATTTAGTATAACAGCTATTGCAATAGATAGATTTCAAGTGAGTTCTCTCCAGGTTTGGAATATTATAAATACATCTCGTTTTTCATTCGTAATGTTATGCATTCACATTACTTAAAATACTCTTGTGTCAAAAGGGCACCTATGTAAAATTGATTTTCATGTTTAAACTAATATGTTGGCTTTATCCTAACACGTATTCTGAATTGATTAAGTGAATAACAGTGTAGTGTATTTCATTTGAATGTATAAATAGGAACAACCACACATGTACAACGTTTTCCAGCATCTCATACCCAATGATACTAACTGGTGGTGTTTGAAGTATGCAGTCTAAGGTAGCCGGAGATGCAGAATGATTTCTATAGAAACGATATGCACCTAGCAATGCCACTTTGATGATATTAGTTAGCTGAAGTAACAATGATTTTTCATGTCTTGTTAACTGTCTCATATGTGTCGACCCTATGTGCCATCGCTTTGTCTCAAACTACTGTTTTGGCTTGTAAGTTAGTATCAGCTACTGTGATTGAGTTAGCTTTTAAACTCAGGATCCTGATGACGTCACTTATTCAAGTTAAGCCACTTGACCCGATAAGCTTATTGGTTCAAGTAAGATGTACTTAACCCTGAATTTCACTTTGTAGTTATGAAACGGATTTTAGCCGTAATGTGTTTGGTGTTCTCCAAGCTTTGAAGGCTTTTTTTGGGTAGTTTATAACTAGTCTAGTTGACTGCATCAGTGCTAACTTCTATATGATCACCTGGCCCAAAGATGCAACATCCAAAGAGAACGCATAATATTTATCATCCTCATTCTGAACTACGAATCTTTTCTACTGTCTTAGATTTCAAGTGTCTTAAGAGAATTTTTCAACCAGTTATTTTTACTTCATTTTTAACTAGGGTCAACAAAAAGCTCAAGAAATCTGTTTTAGGAATGAAAAGGCCTTGAATAACTGATACATAGTCCCCAATAGGGTTTTTCTTATCATTGTATTTCTGTGAGACTAAACGTAGTCTTATTATCATGATGTAACTTACGACTGATCATTTCGCCTGGAGGGGAGGGAACATTCCAGAAGGTAAACCTTTTCTCCAAAATGAAATAAATTTGTGGTTTTTCCGTAATGTCACACAATAAGCTGAAGCTTTCCGCAATTTAGACAGAATTCGATAAGACCAAAGTTAACATTCTATGGGGAATCGAACTGAAGATAAATCTTACTCGTTGACTAAAACTGTTACCATTCGACACTTTGAAAACATTATGAAAATACCCCACTACGAATCTTGAAAAAGGCGATTGATTTCTTATCTAAGAAAGCGATAACTGCTTTCAATCCAGAAATTACCATTGGTTCTAAAGGGTTAAGTCTGTGGTTTATACATCAGTTATTATCAGTCTGCTTATAAAAGTGCACCTCATTCTATATCAGAGCTCACATAAGCCTATAAGTGTATTGGTCAAGGAAAATCTTCATCCACAGCTGAGAATACATGTCCTGTATCAGTTACATTGTACTAGTCATTAATGTAATGTAGGATAAGGTATGAAGTTGGAGGAAATCCCTCGGCCCGTTTACTTGACATTCTGCTTCAGTAATGTATATATTCATTGAAATCGACAAAAAATGCACTAATTGCAAATTCGTACAACAAGCAATGATAGACATCTTTCGCGTAAAAATTGATGGTACTACCTAGATGGTTAAGTTTTGGTAGGCGGGAAGGGCATCGCCGTTCAAAGCCAATGAGTTACATCTCATTGTATACATTAAGCTACACTAAGAATAGACGTAGTCTAAAATATCTTCACGTGAACTCTTGCAACTAACAAAATTAATGCATCACAAGAGTGTTTTATTACTTCACAATAATGTAAAAAAATGTTGGAAATCCATTTCAGTCACCTTGAATTCTATGAAGATAATAATTTCGTTGTAAAAACAGTCTTCTTTTCCTAATGGCAATTTTTTTACCAAGCTTATTGAAACACCATCAAACACAAAAAAAGTTCTTTCTATTTTCACTTATATGGCAACCGACTACAAATTGCTCAGGTACTGAGTTACTTTTCCAGTCAGAAAACAATTTAGTCTCAGGGAGTTAGTCTCAAGATGGGTCACTAGAAATGGAAGTGTAAAGTATCAGTATTATATATGTTGAGTATTTTGTTAAAAGAATAAGGCAATCAGTGTTTTTCAGTAGATGAAACTGAATGACAGTTGACCACACTACAGTATCACAGATTTCATTGTGCATAAAATCGGTTGATCCAGTGTATCAGGTCGGTCAACCGAAACACGATATTAAGTCTTTTAGGTTTTTTTTCAAACTGCATATTTAAAGCATAGTTAATGACCAGTGCTTGAGAATAAATACTACACTCTAATCACTCAGTCTACTCACTTCTGTCCTACATTGAGCGGTTAACAAGGTTTGTTCATGTTTCCAGGAATCGATGACATTATTCTGTATTTCCTTGATATTTCAGGTTTACATCAATAAACAGAAAACTCATGTGTTCCGCTGCTTAAAAGTTACTTTCTGATAGTGTTCACGCTGCATTGCCAGCTGTGTGATTCCCATATTTTTGTGCAGGTTATCTGAGCTTTTCCCACAACTGCTACAAAGTATGCAGAGTGCGCAGATGGTCGCGATTTATTATTGATTCAATCCTGAAAGAAACTTGACACATGGTTAGGTACCGATTAGAAGTCTCAGTTATGCCTGACTAGGTCTGTGGGCTAAGCTATGGCGCTCAGTTATTATCTAGAGCTAGATTTTAATTCATTCTAACAAGCTTTCCCCTAGGTGTCTTTCGTACTAGTAATAAGTGATTATTTCATGTATTTACACCAGTTTCTGATTCGTATCTTTTCGTGCCAACACAAATTAGGCCAGAACAAAAGGAAATAGCTAGTGAATAACACATATTTAGATTATCTTGGGTGGTCTGGATTTGGTAGGCTTATCATGATAAGATCGGCAGTGGCCAGCGTTTTGCAAAGTTGGTTTTAAATAAGGTGTTAACTTTTAGTCGAAAGAGTAGCTTCACTGGCATATTTCTGTATGATCAAATAAGTTTCATGTAATAATTGAGAAAATCGCTAAATACATCTTTTGTTAACATTTTATTAATCTCAACAAATAAACTACAGTAAAAATAATAAACTGTGTCAAGAAACCATTGAGGTGAGCGGTGTATTTTGTGAAACGTTTTACTTATTTAAGTATTTTCGTTTCATTGCTTCCGGGAAATAACAGTGGCAAGGCCTTAGAGTGCCATATCTTATCTATAAAATGTCTACTTACTTGAACCGTAAATTACAAAAAAATTTATTGCTTGAATGATAGGGATCGTTGCGCTCCAAGTCTGAATATTCGCATCATTTTGTTCGGTGAGTATAACTGACATTTAGAAAATCGGATATTTCTAGTACTGAACCATGCATAAGGAACGCACTTCGTTAACCAAATTTGGATCAAGCTTATAGTGTTATTAGTACTCATAAAACACCTGTCTCATAATTAAAAAGACTGACTGACTTACTTCTAAGTTAGTATTTCTACTGTCCATAACTAGGAACGTTTCATTTGTCCAGAATTCATTTTTGAGTTGTTTTAACGATTAATTCCAAACATTAGCTTCATTTTAAAGTAGATGCTAAATTTCGATGTTTTACTTGCATTAAATCCTCACCGTGTATTCACTTGAAGGACTACTACTAATTTTATCAGCCTAAATAAATCTACAGAGTGTTAGCTTATGAGGTTAAGGTGAATACATGTCAAACCGTGAATTTGTTGTTCAGTTTTCAGTGTATGTTTGAACACATGTTACAATGTATACAACTGCCTAAATAACAGTGGGTTGACAACCACATCCTACTACCACTAGTTTGATGTGTTGTTCATAAAACAGCCTTCACTAGGTTGAGAAATGAAAGATTAGCTAAAGTTAACCCAGCGAATCGTTTTGTCTTTTCAGTGTATCATTCTGAGAATCCTTACTTTAGTATTTAGAGTTACAATGAAACTACGAGTCCAACAATGGCTAATGGGTCAGTATAGGGTCACTAAAAGTTATTTATGTGATTACAAAGTATGTGATGATTGGTCAGCACAGGGCAATTACTAGATGACTACGCCGAAAGCTATGAAGTTAAAGGACTGCCCCAATTTTTGCTCCTGTTCTATGACTTCATAGATAATTACTTATTCACCCTGTGATTAGCCTGTTTTGACCTTCGAACCAATCCCTTGTATTCTTACAAACATTTTCGAAGAACTTTTGCTGACCTTCTAGCCCAAGTCATTGGAATATATACTTGATTAAATTTTTATCCAAGATTTTGCAACTAATGGTTGCCTTATTCTTTGGCTAATAGAAGGGGCAGTAAATTGACAAGCACGTTGTAACGTTAAAATCTGCACAAAATACAAAGGTTTGTATTTATTTCTAATGGCCCTGACTATTTTTAGAATGTCATATCCTATCATTTTTTACTTATATAGTCAACCGAATATTTGCACGTATGTTCACATGCCATTTATCGAAACTTCGAAGTAACACAATTGGTTGCGAAAGGCTTGGGAAAATAATACTTCTTATGAGGATCTGAGTAATCCCACTGAACACTATAACAGTCACCATATAATTCGACTGCTGATTTTTGATGACCATATGTACATATTCTGAAGATGATTCATCAACAAGACAATTTTCTTCACTGAATTGCCTTTCGGTAATTCTTCACGATGTAATGGAACTGTTTTGATGGTTGAAATGGACAGTCTGAATGCATCGGTTTGTTATCAGTTGCAATGGATGTCTTACCACCAACCACCTGGATGGGCAAGTAGTGTGAGAATGACGGTTTACAAATAGTTGTTGATCAGTCAATCAAAAAAAAGAATGAAACTTTAGAAATACATTAAACCAAGGACCTGGTTATCTATAAAATAATGTGGTTTAATCTATAAACTTGCATAATAAATCGTATACTTGATATGACGCACGATGAAACATTATTA